GGGTACTTCCATCTAACCTTACCTTCCCCAAACAACAGGAGAGTCTGATCAGAAAAGAGATCACAGCATTAAACTCCAAAGTAGATATCCATATTGAATACGCATTTATTAAAAACGATTCAGAGGTCTTTAGTACTAAATATAAACATGAGGTTTCAATAAAGCCCTCACAGTTTTCAGAAACCACTTTTGATACTTCACTGAAGATATATGAAAATGGTTCTCTATGTTCTGTGAAATCAGGTAAATCCCCATACCCTACTTCTCCTAACTTTTATCTGTCCCAACTATCTAACATAGCCTTTCTGCTCTGGTTAAATTCATCTCCTCACATCTCTCTAATACTCCAAACTCTTCCTAATTTTCCACACAGGAAACAGTCACTCACTCTTTAGTGATTTTATACACAGCACTTAGTTAAGTCTGTTTTCCCTGAGCCTCTGCTTTGAAGTAAACTTTTTGAATGTTAGAGTCTTTCTTATTCAAATCTGTGTTTCTCCACTTTCAGGCTCCAACCTCCCCTAGTGCTCTTGCCCTTCAACAGATTCTTTATAAATGCTTGCTAAACTTAGTATCTACCTTTGCTGCAGTTCTCTCACTTTTAGGGCTGTCTGCTTTAGGGCCTACCTTTTCAAAGACGTTTCCTTTGACTAAGCCTGCAAAGGCCTCTCTAAAATCAGAATTACTAGAGCATCTGTTTGCCTCTCAAGCCTACTACTTTTACCCTGCTCCCTAACTAGACAGTAAACTCGGAAAGAGCATGGGCTTTGAAGTTAGACAGATCCAGGTTCAAATTCCACTGCTACCACTTACTAGGACTATAACTTAGGGTGAGAACTCTGGGCTTGTTCTCCCAACTCACTGGGGTGTTTAAAAGATGAAATGAGATATCGTTCATGAAACATCTAATACTGAAACTTGAACATCACCGACAAAAACTGGCAGCTACTTTCCTGCCATAAAGAAAAAGGTCCCACTGTACCTAAAAGGAGTGGAGCCTGACCTAGGCCTTCAATAACTCTTCCTTAGTTTATTTTGGACAAAACATTTTGCCCTAAGGGCAAAAAGTCCCATTTTTCAACCTACTCAAGCTCCCCAACGGCCCCGCCCTGGGGGTGGGAGATTGTGGAGAAAGTTGGCGAGTTGAACAAAAAAGACTTCTTGTCAAACCTAAAGGCCATCTGACTGCGGCTCTGCTCCCAATGTTTACACTCTGTAAAGAGTGACAAGTCACGAGGAACTTGAGACACAGGATTTGACCGCTAGATGCAGCTTCGGCTTTGCCCAGTTCCTCACCAACCTCTCCCGTCCTGAGAGCACAGACCGACAGACACACCTTCCTCCCCCCACCACCCCGACCCGTGAAAAGTAAGGTTGGGGCACTCCTGACGCGCTTAGGTCCCGGGGGAGACTCACCGCCGAGGTCCTTGGCCTGGTGAAGGAGCTCCCTCTCCGCCGACTCCGCCGCCGCCTCCGCCTCGGCGGGCGGCT